TCTTATAAGTAATAATTTATAATCATTCTACTACACAGATGTTAATTAATTTTAATTTACAAAAAAGAAAATGTTCTTTCACTTACCCACGGCAAGGAGTTTTGACTTAGAATATCTCTTTTGTCGATCTAGTAGCACGCAAGTGATCTTATTTTAGTATTTTGATTAAGTTTTTAACTAAACTCTGACTGAAAGAGAGTTTTTCCAACGCGATTAAAGTTAGTTTTGCCATTCTGTATTCTAAATGTTTCATTATTCATAATAAGTTAAGTCAATAGTCACTCTAGTTCGTAGCTAATTTATATTTCACTTTAATTGTACTTTTAATTAAATCATCACAATTAGACGAAAAAGTAAGGCATAATATCACCGAGATTTCCATCACTGTGTTGATGATCAGTTCTGTAAAGTTGTAAAGTTTTCTAAAAAAGCTTACGAATAGTTTACCGGTTGGGAAGACGTTAAATATGAATTTTCGCGACATTTGTAGAAACAAACGTTTGTAGTTTTTACTACTATTTAAAACCAGATGAAGAAGTGATTCAACCTATTTTATTTCGGTATATTAATTTCTACTTGATTTGTGTACTGGAAAGGGTAGAATCAAATGGAATCCCACATTGTATGGGGAGTGGACGGGGTGATTTTCGATTTRATCAACTTTAAAAAATTGAGCTTCACAGTAATTACTGTTAACTTTTCCATAGTAATACTCTGGTTAAGGCTCTGGAGTCAGTTGATCTTTTATGTAAARTAAAATAAAAAGTCGCAGTCTTCCTTTATGGTTATTTCATCCAAACATTCAATATGCACCCTTTTGATTAGGTTTTTATAATGACAGCCCTGCTTCCCTAATGAGCCCCAAATAAGAATGTATAGTCTTTTTGTCCATTATGTGAATTATTTGACCAAAATCAAATAAGAAATATACATATAGTACATATGTTTATCAAAATAAAATTAATTAAAAAATCAATAGTTCGATGTATCGATGTTTTTTCAATCCGATTTTTAGAGTACATACATACATGCATAGATTCATATGTCAGCTAAATTTTTTTGCCAACTTTAAATCACCGATGTTTCCTTACTGGGTTTCGAAATATTAATTAAATATAGTTTATAAAATAATGTAGTATATCGTACGTCGAACTCGTATATAAGTATGTGCACACAGAAATGGCTCTTTGTTTTGCAAACTTTTTAAATTAACACATTAAAATTTCATTGCAGTTCCATCAACGAGGATACGAGAATGTTATGTTTTTCAATATGTCAAAGATTAAAATTCATTTACGTGGTCTCTCTTCTACTACCCATAATGAACGTAAGATGATTTTTAATAATAGTTTAGAGTATTAAAAGAACGTTTTACATTTACCTTTCCATTTAAATTCACATTTCTATGTTAAATCAATAGTGAATGTATATGTATATATGCAAGTACATATGCGTGCTTATTTTGATGTTCTATGGTACGTGATAATTAGTAGTGTTTTATTACTGTTTATACTCTGATTTTCTTAGTGTAACGCAGGTTATGAATTCTTCCGCAGTAGTCAATCTTGCAAGTTATACTTCCTTATCCAACTTTCTATTTGTCTTGAAATCGAATTCATACATTCCTGCTTCGTTTTCTGTAGGTTAAAAAGTGTTAGATACATATGTATGTATGTACATATATGCGCCAATACAACTACGAGAGTGGCTACGGTAGTTTAGCAACTCATTTTCTCCAACTGTATCGGAGGTTAGCCAATCTTCAATTAACGGAAGTAGTATTGCACATACCATATCGATTGCACTTCTTCACTTATCAAGAATAGCATCTTCTGTTTACATGCTGAATCGTGGACGGAAAGTATGGAATATGTATCTGCGTACATGTGCGCGCAGATAAATGTATTTGTTACACACAGTCAAACCCAGTTAAGTATGTATCACATTTTGACAAAGAAGCTAGAAGTTCSCGTGACCACTCCCTAACGAAGCAACATTGTCTTGTAATTTTAAAATAATTTAAGTAAAGACAATTTGTGAAGTGAATTGAAAAGGATGGTCCTTAAAAATCAAACAAATAAACATATATAGTACAATTAAAAAAAGCTAAAAATACGCTTTTAAAGCACTGCGAACCAAATAGTGAACCATAATTCTTAATGCATATAAACTGACAGTAACATTGACTGAAAAATACTTTTATTAAAGTGTGGGATATTACTGTCAGCTTATACATAGTATATGTATATTATTTTTAATTTTTTCGCTTGAAGTGCTTTAAATTTTTTTAGTTTTTTAAGTCATATTTGTTATTTAACACGTTGTGCTTTCACTTTCTTTAAAGATGAGTTAGAGTAAACTTGTTAATCAAATGACGTCATTTGATGCTTTCAGCTGCATAGTTTTTTTGCCACCGAAGAAACTACATAGATACAAACAAACATACTAATAAACCGCTATAAAAAATATTCGTTACAGAGTTAAATTTAACCAAGCTAAACTGTACGCACTTAATTCATCATTAAAACTCTGCATATACCACAAGCATACTATGGTGTGGAATCAACTACTTCATATTAATTCAAAACAATGTACAAAGTAACTAAACTCTCTTTCTTAACGGACTTTTACTAACAAGTTTTCATGTTTCATAAATTTCTACTACTTATGTTTTGATTATTATGCATTATTGACATTTAAAATATTAGCAATTAAGTCTGAGAATTTGAGTGAAAAGCTGTATATGTGTGTGATATAGGTTCCGTAATAATGTTAGTTTAACCCTTACTATGATATTATGCAGGTCATTCATTTAGTCAGATGTATAACACAAATATAAGCAAATACCACCTACTGTAGTAGCATCTTTAAGTTTCTTAAAACTAGTTTCATTTGATGAGTAGCTACTGCTATTGCCAGCGCTAACAATGGAGTGGAATAATTTATAGCGTTTACTACTATAATGCGTATTGTCGTTCTGTAACTTTTGCTGTCCACTGCACATACTATGTAATAATGCATCTGCTTATGTATTCAATGCAAAACATTACACTCTTGTGTGTGCATGTAAATAACATACCAGAATTTATGTGGAATGAATAATGAAAAATCTTACATATGTATGTATGTACATAATTTATACCTTTCACGCGCATTGTGATAACATAGTTAATTTAATAATATCAAATAGAATAATAACATGCAGTTGTTAAGAGTGCAATATGAACTAACATTCATTATATCAGGAAATGTAATGTGTTTATTGTATTTACTTAGTCATCACACTTGACAGCAGTAACAATTGAGTCATCTACGGAGAATACAGCTGACGGCACAAGTATATCCACTTCCGTTATAAATCGAAGCAATAAAATAATAAGAAATCCAACCATTCCGAAACCTACAATCAGAGTTGATAATCATAGCAACAGAGACGGCGAAAAAAATGGAGACCGTTCGAAGCAGTTACTTGTGGCATTGTCATCCAAGTCATACATTAGTAAGCCAAATGCAACAGCTCCCACACCGGTTAAACTTACAAAGCGTGCTGGCTCCGCTGCGGAGATAAAACATAAAGTATTTTAAATAATGTACAAAAGAATTTCACAATTACTTATTTAATTATCTGTTGTAAATTTAGAAAATAACCAAAGAGAATTTAAATCGAACGGGAGATATTGCAACACGAGGAAAGCTCCGTCAAGAAGTAGTCAGTGAATTTGTAGCTGTACTGTTACATACATATGTATATTTTTATAATTATTCTTTTTAATGTAGGACCACATTCCAGACTCATCAGGACATATTCCTTATCGGATAAATCGCCCACATCTAGGACTGCCAGGATACGAATCCGCTGGAGTGAGCTCGAGTTCAAATGATGGCGGAGACGACTACCATAATTTGTCCTATGAGTCAGATAAGTGGCCAAGTGATTACTGGGAACGTGACTACAACAAGAATTTCATTTATAACAATACTCGAGTACACCGTAAGTTTTTCCAAATAATTTTTATGTTCATATGCATGGTCTATCTTAAATTATTTGAGACAGACATTGAAGCGGAGTGTCAGGATGATTATATGAAAATTCGTATTGGATTCAATGCTACCTTTAATGGATTAATATATTCAGCTGGTTATGCATATGATCCCGACTGCATGTATATAAATGGTTCAGGTCGGGATTATTACGAATTTTTCATTCAGTTGAATCGCTGTGGAACTTTAGGAAAAAATGCGCTTCATGAAGAAAAAAGGAAAAATCCAACTGTAATGATATTAAAAAATAAACATACTTACATATATTTTTATTCTGAAATTTGGTTTTGTCACAGAACTTTATGTGGAATACTGTGACAGTACAATACAATCCGCTCATAGAAGAAGAATATGATGAACACTTTAAAGTCACCTGCGAATATGGCTACGACTTTTGGAAAACAGTAACCTTTCCATTCTTAGACGTCGAGTAAGTTTTAAAACAAATAACCTTTCGTATAGGGTAAAGAGATATTTGAATTTTAWCTCAAATAGAGTAGCGACCGGCAACCCCGTTGTATTTACTTTAAGTCCACCAGAGTGTTATATGGAAATACAAAATGGATACGGGATTGGAGGACCACGTGTCACTGGACCTGTGCGAGTTGGCGACCCACTCACATTGATAATTTACATGCGCAGCAAATACGGTTTGAATATATTTAATATTTCCATACATACTTTATGAGAGCATGTATTCAAACACACAATAACAGAATAATAATAACAAATGTTTCTAGATGGTTTCGATATTGTTGTAAACGATTGTTATGCACATAACGGTGCTAACAAAAAGATTCAGCTTATTGATGAATACGGTTGCCCTGTGGATGATAAGCTAATTTCCAGATTTCGAGGCTCTTGGTCTGATTCGGGAATTTTCGAAACACAAGTTTATGCATATATGAAAACTTTTCGCTTTACAGGCTCGCCAGCATTATATATAGAATGTGATGTACGAATGTGTCACGGCCGATGTCCGGTAAGAACTGAACAGGAAACTGTTGTTTTGTTTTTAATAGTTTTTTCTATGATTAAGTGACGACATATATTTAAAATTTTCTAGAGTCAGCCATGTCACTGGCGCAACTCGAAAACTGTATCTAAACGAGATATATCAAATTCAACAACACCCAATTTACAATCTGCATTAGACTCAACTGCGTCTGAAGTAGAGAAAACAAATTCATCACAAAATTCTRGAAATAGCTTAGACTTAATGGCTATATCGAATTCAGATAAACARCCTGCTTCGTTATCGGAAAATTTGAATCTGTTTCAATCGTTGCGTGTACTCCAGGAGGGTGAGTCCGATGGGAATGGGTTTTACCCACATTCTCGTCGGTTGGAGCCTCAAGGAAATCAAACATGTATAAAAACGACTACATTATCAGCATTAACAATAATTCTCTCTGTARCTATGTTTGTACTCTCGGGCACTCTGGTAGTAACTTGCTCTCGGCTAAAGAGACGCAGCAAAGATTCATCTTTGTATGAAACATACATTACTCACAAAGGGCAAATTGATTAATGACTACTTAATTCACTTAACTAATGCTAAGCAAATATGTAAATATGATTTTTCCTTTAACTTGATCATGTCTAATTAAAGGTAATATAATATAGACTGATGAGTATTATTTTCATGGTAACACCAGTGGGAGAAAGCATAGGTATAATTTTTCAAAAGGTATCATTCAAACATTACAGGTTAAAAACTTTCTATCAGAAATATTTTTGAGTAGGATTGTCACTGTTGGAAATAGGAAACAAAACTATAGGTAAACACAAAGACTGTTACATGAATTACCCATATACAAAACACACACTTACAATTTTTACAACCTTATAAGTGAATTTAGTCAATAGAAAATSTATGCGTTACGCAAATATTAATAATATTACAAAAATACGCTTCTAAGCACATCAAACTAAAAAGTGGGAAATATTTTCTATAAAGAAATATATAACTATTAAACATGACATGTTGTATTGTTAAATTAAATCGATAATTAAGCAGTATTTAATTTTTACTCTAAACCTTTCTGTGACTATTTGTTAATGTATATTGTTTGCGATCAAGTTCTATTGACGGCTTTATGATTTCTTACTTCTTAATCAAATAATTTTATCTAACGCTTCACTGTTACCTATCAACTACGTGATACACAAGCAACCAGTCGAGATCCCAGAGTAGGTAAATGGGACGCATGCGTACACAGCGCATTGCCATGCTTGCAGGTAGAGCGATGGAGATATTAAGTAGGCAGAATATTTTWTCTGTGTATTTTAAATCTTTACGAAGTCTTATTTTATATTGAATTAATCTAATTATTTTTTTATAAGATTTACCAAATCATGAAATAAACGAATATGAWGTGTTTTCAATTATTTGACATATTTTGACGAAACTTTTAATTAATTAAGTGAGTACACACTTTTGTATGCTATACAAACGTCACCAACAATAGTTCAAACTTTTATGTAAACGTGGCATACTTGTAGGCGAATTGTTTTTGGTCAGCTACTTCGGTCAAATATTATAAGCATCACTGGAAAATTTAACAAACATGCCAACAAAGTTRATAATAAAAAATAAAAAAATGAGCAAAAACAATGAAATGAACGAAGTGGAAAGTTTCGTAATGGGAAATAAACAGTATGAAGTGCGACAGATTGAAAGCGACATCTGTCAAATATTAAAATACACACGTTCTAATGGACGCAGTTATTTGGACAGCTGCACAACTACACGACTGCAGGCCTACAGTTGTCGCTCTCGCTAACTTCAATATATTCTTATATTAGTTAACGACATTAGTATTTAAAACAAATAAATTTACTTATTTTTTGCATAAAAAATGTCACTTCGAACAAAATATTGAAATTTCATTGAAGTGAAAGGTATTTAGTATAGCCACAACGAAATTGTGTACATGCAAAATGTACAGCTGYGTTGTTTTGTGTACATGCCGCTATCTTCTTACAAATGTTCATGGAGAAGGATTCACGAYGCCATTTACAGTTCGCTGTCGTGCTGCCATGTCGTGTCGCACTCTATGTGTTCAGCACTTGTCTATCCTCTGCGTTAAAATAAGATTATACTAGGGTTGTATTTCGAAATTTTGGATGAAAATGATGATGTTGAAAGTTTATGGAGAAATAGGAAAATTAATGTAAGAATTATTGTAGCAACAAAGCAAAGAGTTTTTAATTTTATATGGCGGATAAAGAAAATGTTTCATTTGAGGTTASTGAAGATACACAAATAAATATCACCACCGGTCCGGAGATGGCAAAGCACCGCAAAGTGGTGCAAAAATTATCAATTACCTCTTGGGATGTAAATAAAATTTTCGCTGTATTGAATATTTTATTATATGAATAATAGTAKAAAATGTATACCACAGCAACGCGTGGACGGATTAACTAGTGGTTCTATATAAATTGCGTGTGTTTGGGTCCCTTTCATGACGCACTGTGGAAGAAGGGGTAAGTTAGCGAATTTTCGGGGTTGTCAGAATTTTCTTAAAGTGTGGGAGACAACTAACTAGTCACCAAAAATTTTCATGGAGGGGATTACCATTTTTTTGAAGCCTTTGCAAAAAAGTTCATGGCGGACTTCATAGATATCAACAAATGCATTACTGTATGGGCTCTAATTCTGATCTGGTCATTTGCGCTAAATCTTCCCAAAATCTTATAACTTTTTAAATTTGTGAAGTCATCAGAAGCAAATGCCAGCGAAAATACATAATACAGTAATTTACGGCAAGGCTCTGCCATCTTTAGATAGAAATTATTTACTAATTCTAATAAAACTACTTTTTTATTTTATTTTTTTTTTTTCGAAGTCAAGTATCATGCCTTTATTTCATTGTTCTGCTTACTGAGAATATTTAATATTATTTTTTATTTTTGCTCGCTTTGATATATAAGTATGTGCATATATATATACATATAATATATTAATTATTTATTATCGATCTTTTACTTTGACTACCATAAATACTACAATTTTAATTTAATTAGAAATTGAAACAAATGATTATGTTGTTTGCGATAGACACCTTAARAGATTTTTGCTTTTCTGCTTTAGAATGCAAAAAATAATATATAGTATTAAACGTTGACGAATTCTTTTTCAAGAAAGTACATATTTCCATTTTACACGAAGTTCAGCATTATTTTTATAAACACCAACAAACTCATCCTTTATACATACATACATACATACGTGCRTATGTACGAATGTTGGTTTCGAACCTTAAGACAGACATTAACCCACTAATTCTGAGACATATTATTTAAGCTCTTTTCTTACAATTTAAATCCAGCAAATTCGTGTGGCTTTTTGTGTTTATGTGTTATAACCGTGATTATACATAATATTAATAACTTCATATATGTATGTGGGAAACCCATTTTTATGAAAGCCAAGTTTCTCCGGAAATTCTTAGGTGTTTTTATATAATATATTAGATTATAGTTAAAGTAGTAATTAAATTTATCTACAATGTCTGTTTATGAAATTTAGATTATTAAAGTCCAAAAATCTAATTGTTGAGGATGTAAGGCAATAGGGAGAAAGAAAACACTATTTGAAGTGAATATTTATCACGATTTAATTACACAGTACAACCTGTCTCTTATACACATCTAGATGTGTATAAGAGACAGGGTTTTTACTATACTGACCTAGTACCATCACCCTGACTTGGAATTTCTCACCCCCCAGACAATAATCCCAAAAATGTTCCACAGTGTTATAGAAGATTGTGTCAATGTGGGGCGTCCTTATCACTCAAAAATTGCATTTCTGTGGGTTGAAATTTTTGAACATTTTCTTTTAGAATCATAAAAACAAAACAATGCAAAAAACGGCAGATTTTGGACGTTATGGATTCAATTACTTTTGAAAAATTGTTGTTTTTGATCTAWTGACACAACCTTATATAATGGAATCATGTATTTAATAATTTTTTTGGCTTTGCGTCCAGTTTGTATTGACTTAAAATTTCGAAAGAGTCTCTGAAACATATGCASCACAAAAAAATATATTCGCTTTTGAGATCCATGCCTTAATAAACTTAGATAATGTAATCAGGGCGGGCATCAARGTCGGTATTTGCTGAAAGTGGCCGACAGAACTAAGATAAATACAGAAAATATTTTTAAATACGTTATATACTAAAAGGGTAACAATTAAATATAATTGATAACACTTACATAAAACTAAAGTAACTACGTATGCATTTATGAAAGAATTGACCACATACATATGTACACACAGGTCAGCAAAATTTTTTTATCTATGTATATAATGACTATGTCTCACATTACATCAAACAAAAAWTTTTTTTTTAAGTTCATGAGGTTGAGATCAAACCATTAAGTTTTGGTGTTTAGTATGGCTGTTAGTTTTTCCTTTTGCATTTTGAATTAAGCAATTATTATGCGTTTGTAATTTGGTTCTAACACTTTTTAGTGCATCATGTTTTTCATTGTGAGATGTGTGTGTTGTGAGATTTTTATGAATTTTGCAAACACAATTTCATAATTGCATTCACAATTTTTTTTTTAATTTATTGTTATTTTTTAAGCCCTTTTTGTAATTGAGTAAAAAAATACATATCAATATCCATCGTTTATTATTACTTTCTAATATTCTTCAGTTRCATTGTTTTACACACACAAACACATTTCAAGACTTATCGGAAAAAACTTTATCCATTAGTTGTATTTGTGTACTTATGTGTGTATGTGTGTATACGATTATGCCTTTTCTCATGATTTGCGCGGTTAATAAATTTGGCTCAGATAATTATTCGACATGTCATTACAGTTTTAAAAGTATTGAAAGCTTACTCAATAATCTAAATATTTATTGCTTCTAAAATTAAAAAATTAAAATAAAACACTGAGATGTAAACACTATTTTACCGAAAATATAAAATATTGTTTTCAAATTTATTCGGTAAAAAATATATTAAAAAGAACTAACAGTTTTCGCCACATACCAATTCTGATGGGTGCTGTCAACCTGTGAGGCTAATATTTTGTATCTGGTGTTGATCAATCTTTACTATACACACATCAACTAATTTTAATTTTAACTAGGGTTGCAAATTATGTATTAAAAGACAATTGAGTTACCATTTTCACTAGTTTTTGTATTGTAATCCCCAAAATCTTAATTAAAAATAAATTATTAATTAAATTGAAAAAGAAAAAACATTTAATCCAAGATGTCTAATTTTTCATCAAAATTTTGAACATAATAAATCCTAACTTTGGCTTTAACTGCAACATAAACAAATTCATTCAAGTGTTTGAACCGCGTACATACACAAAATTTTTCTAAAATCTTTGAATTCTAACACAAAATCAAGCTTAAACCCTTACCGATTTCCATTTTTAGCCTACAAAGGGAAAATAACTTTCAYGAAAATCAATTTGTTTGCAATCAACCGCCATTACTTTCTTCATCACTTACTTATCTTTTGAATTACATTTGATGTTTAACCTTTTGCTTAAATGCTATGCTGTACATTGTGCCCTAACCGTTACTAATTTTAATATTTCTAAACTTGAATCACACTTATGACATTAAGAGATGCTTGCCTTAAAGTACACTTTACCTAGATTTACATACATACATGTGCACTTCCACATATACTTCACTATTCCATATTATTTTATGAATCATGGACTATTGTAATTATCAGTAAGTATTTTGTGGTTTTATCATTTAATTAAATTTAAATATTTTGTATATTTAATTTGCACTTAATTATGCGATTTTGAAGTTACTTCAGCTAACCAAAGCTTGTGCGTCAAGTAATGAAGGAGGTTAGATTTCTAATGATTCTTCGTTTACTTTCAAAACAAGAAAACGCCAACGTCGGTTACACCGAAGATATATTACACCACTTCACAGATAAAAATTATAAGAAAAAGAACTTAATTTTAATTATTARTTTGTTTGACAGTTATAGATTAGAACAATATTTTCGGTTATTATACTGTTACCTTGAATAACATCTATGCCAAATTTCGTGGAGATACCTTATCAAATAATAGTTTTCCATAAAACGCCTTGAGTTTGATTCATCAGATTATATGACAGCTACATGCTAAAGTTGTCAGGTATCGGCAGTTCTGACAAATGAGCAGCTTATTGGAGAGAAAAGATCGAAAGCCTAGTTTTCGTATAAACAGACAGACAAACGCATGGAGATGTCTAAATCGACCCAGTTCCCGTCACACTGATCTTTTATACGTTGTTTCGTTTTGGGTGTTACAAACCCCGTTCAGACTGTTATTAAATGTGATCGTGCGACCAATGCGTGTTGGTGTAACAGAATCATTGAAATGAAACATAAAATTGTCATTTTAACTTTTTGTATTTTTTTTTACTTAATTAAAGATATTTGTAAATTTATAAAAGAAAATGAGTTAAATTAAGTTAAATACATATCTCTTAACAGCATAAATCACTCGTTAGGATCACTTAAATTATACAGTTAATTATAATTCATTACACTTATAACTCTGCTCCGTACTTATCCCAGTGCTTATTCGTAAAATATATTTAGACATAGTTTTCTTTGCTATAGAAAAAACAATTAAAATTATTTTCAATTAAATTACATATAATATCTAACGCATTTAACATGCGCTTTTGCATTTTGGAAAATTCCACACTAGAACTAGGCGAATTTATTGAAAAAATAAAATTTTTTTAAATCTCTCATACCTTTGACAACTAAAGTTCGGTCGTTACAATGGGTAACACATATACGTATTTTGTTGTAAATATGTACAGACTGACTTATGTAAATACATAAATACAGCCAGACTAACGACTAATACTCATTGCAAAAATCATATATAGACAAACATAAAATGCACCCGCAGCACTAAAATGTAATTTGAAATTGGCGAGCGTTTTTTATATAGTCTTTCTCTCAACTAATACAAATGGGGTACAACATGAAGGCATTTAGCATAAAAAATAATAATAATTGTTAGAATATAAAAGCGTGTGTATGTGTCTTAGTACTTCAATAAATCCGCTTGGCGCTTTTCTTTGTAACCACTTTTGTGCCAATTTTAACTTTGCATTTCCTCTCAGTACGCACTTTTACTCTTTTACTGATTTAAAATTTCGCTTTTGTCATATTTCTGCACATAATTCCATGCAGATTTCAAATAGAGCACTGTAAATAGTTTATATTGAAATTTCCATGAATTGATTTTTGCAAATAATTGTACATGATTGCTGTTTTGTTGTGATTTTTGTTTTTGTTGTTTTTTTAGTTAGTTTTGTTTCTTTGTCGAATTTTAATTCTGTTGCTGCTGCTGTTGTTGATATTCGATTGGACTGGTTATAGCCCGCAGGAAATCATGTTGTGACTGTAATATATTGCGTATGATGCGCAGCCACTCGTTGGTCAACTCCACGCTGGACGCGTAGCAAATTATTTTCAAGCCCGGTTTATTTGGATCGGTAGATTTGAGCTGAAAACGATTGTTTTCTAATTCTTCTAGCTGCATTTTGTTGACCTGCGGAAGAATTTTTTATTAAACAATGGTATTTATTTATCAAATTCAAATTAAATTGTTTTAATGTTATTATTATTTATATGCAATTGATCTATAAACCGACTCAACTATTCTCATCAATTTAGTAAAAAAAAAAAAAAAATTAATGTAAAATAAAAATAAAAATAAAATTTACATAGAAAATGCGAAAATTGAAATCCTTGTTTTTTGTGGTTATTGTAATACAAAATTTCACCCAATTTAACGCAAATTTGCTTATATTTTATCTGCAGCAATCCAACATTTTTTGAAAGACTAATTTGCTCTAGTTCAACTGCATACAATCACATACTTTACTGAACTAAAGGACTTGATTGGAGAGTCTGACCGATTTTTCGTGAATTTAATAAAAATTATTGTCATTTTGTAAAGTAAAAAACAAGAAAAAAACGGTAACTTCAGTTGCTATARAACTTTTCAGGAATACAGGCATACAGAAGGAACATCGACTCAGCTCGATATGCTGATCATTTACATATATATTTTATAGGGTCTCCGAYGATTCCTTATGGGTGTTACAAACTTCGTGATAAACTTAATATACCCTGTTCAGMGTATAAAAACACATTAGGTTAGTATCAAAATAAACGATATTAAGTCAGTTCGAGTAATATTCGATTATTCGAAAAAATGTATGAGTAAAGCAGATGTTTAACGGTCTTTCAACAAAAAAATATTAAAGTCAAAAAATAATTTTAATGAAGATACCAAAAACTTTCGAAAACTCAACTATCTTTGAAAATTAAAGATCAAACAATCAAACTAACTTTAAGCTTACAACTTTTAAGGAAATATTTATTACTTTTACACCCCAATCGATTTAAATTTAAATTCACCTGTATATGCGTGCGATAGGTGTATGTTGGACTACTATATTGTAGTTTTTTGCCATCGATATCTGCGAAAATTATGCTCTGCTCAAAAAGGAAAACATAAAGTTCACGCGGTTTCTGCAACATATAAGCATTGCGATCAGCCTTTTCGTCATCAATGCAGTAGAGTTTGTCATGCAATAGAAGTTTTCCTTGCGCAGTGATTTTACCCTCGAATTTTTGTAAACGACGTAATTCCATCGCTTCATTAGCAGCCTTACAAATCATCTAAAAGTGTCACGAAAAGTTTATTAATATTAATATTGCAGCGGAAAACGACTAATTGTGGTTATTTATACGATTAAACAAGAAAAATGGTAGAAAACTTACACCCATAACCCGCATAGCTTCTTCGACGCCAACCACTTCGGCATCGCGCCCAGCAGCTCGGGCATATTTGGCAATCTCTTTAAATAATAACACATATTTCGGCAATCGCTGCACTGGTTTTATGAGCAAATCGTTGAGCTACGCAGAAAATTAAATTTTTAGTATAAATATTTTGCTTTAAAGCTGTGATTAATCACTTACATCCAAGCGGCTACCTAAATTCTGTCTGATTTTGTCAAAATATAGCAGGTGCGTGGTCACAATGTGATCCGATACCGGCTTGTTTTGAAAATATTTATTATACATATCAAATTTGTGTAGATAACGTTTGATTAGGGGGCCCAGATCAGCGGGGGAATTGCGGCAGCGCACTAACGCTTCCAAAAAGGATCTGTCGAAATAAAATACAATATATATATTTTTTTTTTTTAACAATTTCACGCATGTTTTGCGCTGTTGCAGTTTACTTACTTCTTATGCCACTCATATATAGCTTCAATATTGCCAAAAACCATACGCTCTTTGCCTCCCTTCAAATCGTCGGGTTTGGGTATATCACTTTTGGGATCCAGCACCTCGGCTAGGTAACTGCGATTGAAAATAAAACAAAGCTTTATACAAAGTTCCCGATTTCGGCGCTCAAAAAGCGTTAACTTACTCATCAACTATACTCTTCAAGTCTTCAATATATGACTTTTCGGTAGTTATTAGCTCATCGATTGCATATTGACGCAATCGTAGCGCACTCTCAATATCACTGTTCTCAGTGTTGCACTGAAAGTGTGGAAAAAAACATTCTAAATAAATAATGAAATAGATAATAATCCCTCTTAGCTTTGAAATTGATAAGGAAGTATGATTTTAATTATTAGAAGAAAGTGAAAATACGACTCTGTGTGCAATTTTACTTTTGAACAATTGCTTGAAGTCGACTTAAAACTCAATACTTTCGAMGATAAATATGTTTGATTTCGACTTACCTCCTCATGGTTGTACGTGTTACTGTTATCGTAACTGTCTGTAGTATCTGTTTTCTCACCAACTGTGTTGCAACCGTTGCTGGCGCACACATCAGCATTGATGCTATTGCCGAAGTTGTTTACGTTTGGTTTTAATATTTTCGATTTCTCCTCGTGTTGTTCCTGTAGCGTGACAGGAAAAAAGCAAATTATTATTGTTATATAAATCTTTGTTGGGATMTAAAAAGCATACCGTTTTCTCTTTGACAATTTGCTCAATTTCGGACAAATCTACGGCGGGATTGCCCTCCATTTTTCCAGCACTTGCCTGCAAATGAATGAAAAGAAAACAATTGGGATTATAGGTGTTTTTTAGGAACGATTATAGTTGGAGTTTCACGGAATGATGAAATTTGAATTTGCAAAAAATTGTCCTCAAATCACATGCAAACAGTCCAACTCTGAAATCACAGGACTTTCACAGCTATTCAATACCGCAATAAAGGAGTTAGGTGGGTATCAGAGGTACAAGAAAAAAAAAAGAAGGTATTTTTACGATTTTTTTTTTTAATACAAGCAATCATTTATTTGAAAAATATAGTACGTTATATCAAAGRTATATATTCGAACAATATCTCCTGAAATTTCGATAAAAAAAACGTCGTTGAGACCGCATTTCCCTGGGTGCCTCTCAAAACAATGCTCTCGTCGTGGACAGCATAACTTATTATTGGTTCATATAAAATTAAAAAACTAAGCATATTCTGTTAGTACATATCTAAATCTCGTTTTTGAACGTAGGAAATAAAAAACATATTAAAATTGTCCTTCTTTTCTCAGACTTTGAACAAAAAATCTCATTTTTGGTAAAATTTTCCGACTTCAAAAACACAGTTTCGAGAAAAACGCSTTTAAGGACAGGGCACTTACAGGGGCCGTATCTCCGAAATTATTACTAGCGGTATTGTAGAATTTAATAAAGCAAACAAAAAAAAAAAATCGATTTTTGGAAATTTTCACCTAACCCCTAAAACAGCCTTTGTGGTCTCACAAAACAGATAGAATGATTGCTTGGAAGTGTGTATTTCAAATGGAATCACGGCTATGGAATAGTTGAAAATTTGCACAAAAATTTTGGGAAGGCTAATTTAGCACATAAGCATTTGAGTGGCACAAGTATTCCGTGAATGTCGTGAAGTCATAAAAAACTTAAACTCAACATTACTAGAGAAGAGACGTGGCGTTAAGAATATGATTTCGAAACTTTCCAAAAATCTAACGAAAGCGCCTCAGTAATGAGCCGAACTCGGAAAAAAACAATATTCGCTGAAGGCACTGAAGGCCATCGCAGCGAAGCTTATAACAAATGTATGGAAAATTTGCATAATTTGAAGTTTTCTAAAAAAACRAGAGTGATAAAGCTTTCAAATATAAAAAAAGGGAATTGGAAAAATAAGAGCGAGAGTGTCATTCCATAAGCCACTTGGTAAAGTTCAGTGTAGTAAATGTTCCGAAGATGTTAAGTTCTAGCTAGCGAAGAGTAAAAATTAAAAAAAAAATTAAAAAAAAAAAAAAAATAATAATAATAATAATAATAAATAAAAAAAAACGGGTTTTCATTTTTAAATTTTATAAATTTTTTTGAGAAACTTTGACTTAATAAAAAATACAATTATAATAAACATAAAATTTAAAAGTCCAAGAATCATCTTAGAAAGTCTGTTCATGAATGAATTAACAAAAAAAAAAAACAGTATTTGAAGGTTATGTTAGTTAGTTAGTTACGATACATCTCTCCTGAAAAATTACACAAATTATAAATTGAGTCTCAGACCCAAAATATTAAACGATAAGTAGGGGTAAGCACGTGTAAAAGTGAGAACAATGTGTGTTACTAAGTAAACTATGGAGAAATATCATATGAGAAACACTTTAACAAAAACTTTCCCACCGTTTATGAAGCTAACATATTAAAGTCTATACGTACTCAACCCCTTTATTATTTATTGTAAGTATATTTTATGTATATTGCGAAAAAAAATATATACATATATTGGGTAGTCGAAAAARCCTTTTCGTATTTTGTCAATAGATGTCGTTGCAGTCGTATATCTCCAGTGCTACCAATCAAATTGTGTCYCTACAGTGTTGGGAAGGTGAGATTTTAAGCTTCATTTACCAAAAAAAAGTTACAACTGTTCAAAAATGAGTGAACATAACGAAGAAATTCACTGTATTTTGAAATTTTTGTATAAAAAATGGAAGATGCCTCGCAAGCCAGCAATGAAATTCGTGAAGTTTGTGGAGGCGATGCGATGTCAGTTCGTGTAGCACAACAATGGTTCGCTCGTTTCCGTTCTGGAAATTTCGATGTACACAGATTGAAGAATGTTTCTAGCGGAAAAATGGCAAAAAGTGGTCGACGAAAAGCTACATATTTGTTTATTTATTTATTAGTATAAATAAAAAAAAAATAAGTTAAAGTTTTATTAGAAATACAAAAAGGCCTTTTCGACTGCCCAATATATGTATGTATCGGGAAAGTCGAGCGATTGGGGTCACGTACATATTATATGTAATATATAAAGTTTCCTTAGGTCYTACATTTGTTTATAGTACGAAAGCTGATAAAAAGCGTCCTCGGCCCTTGAAATCTGAACAACACGACATGTTTGCAATAAATTAGTAAATATTAACTCTAGAGGTTCCAATGGAAGCCTTAGCATTGAAAGCAAATAAATAAACAGTCCGCATAGTCTGAAAATTTCGCTCATTCCTTCGAATAGCATGTGTCAACATTTGTGTATGTAAGCTTTAAAAAGTATTTAATTGGCTGCATGAAATAATGAAATGAAATGAAATGAAAAGCATCTGAAAGCGCCCGCTTCCTGTTTTCCATTCTTTCTTCATGTACACCCACAAAAATACTTACACAGGTGCATATTCACACACATGCATACTTACGTATGCATATAAATACAAAAATTTTTGTTATTTCTCCACAATGCGCCACTAAAAATATACGCACGTTTTTATTGTAGTCGCGTCGGTAATGACAGCGTGWTGCCGATGTGATTTGTCGGTTCTTAATTAAGTGCTTTCTGAGTACACCCTCTTACGAAATGCAGCTCGGTGTCAGGCAAGATGCTTGGGCATATGTAAAATATATGTATTTTGTGAATGAGAAAACCCTGGATATTGGACACAGGCAGTTCTCATGGAGGTAGTGATTGAGAGCAGCTAATCCGTTTGATGATTTTCTCGCAAATAAATCAAAACAAATTGTGAGCTGTGAAGGGTGATGTGAGGAACACAATGCTCGCGACAGACTGCAGCAGCACTACAGTGAACTGAAAATGGCGTTATGAATCCTACTACATGAACGTTTGTGAGAGGGCAGCAACATAACGTTGTGGCCATACTAATACCTTGCACTTCAATGAAATTTTAATATTTTGTTCAAAGTGAAATTTTTTAGAAAAAAATAAGTAAATAGGTAAATTTGTTTGTTTTAAATTATCAATTGTTACTATAAATGATGTAACTGTTTTATGCTATGTAAGCTATTTTATGCTTTTATTTGTAAAATAACGTCAGGTTTGTTAGAGCTTTGAGTAATTTTACATTTTACATATTAGTGGCATCRCCACTCTACCTCATCTTTCTATCTTCCATTCTACTGTCAACTCTACGACAATTGTCGGCCTGCCGTCGTGTAGTCGTGCAGCTATCAAAATAGGTCCGTCCATATGAACGTGTGTATTTTAATATTTGACAGATGTAGTTTGCAGTCTGTCACGAGCATTGTATTCCACACATGAGGTGTGTGGAATGTTTAAAATAGAAGAACAATAAAAAAAACTGACAAGCTCGGGGTTCTAAGAGAGAGGAGTAGGTTAAAGAACTTGCCAAGCTTGATATTTTTAAAGAGAGAAGTGAGAATTTTTGAACTGAAAATTCGTCAAAAATTTAGAATCAAGTGTATCTACAGATATGAACCCTTATGATGTTACGAAGTTCAGTAGTCTTTAATTAGTTTCTTATCTTTCAAGTATACGTCAAACAGGCTATAAGCATAGAATTATTGAATTGAATTGAATTAATTAAAATACATTTTGATGAAATCGGTAATAAAAACTCACCTCGTTTGCTGTTAGTAAATGCTGTTTCATTAAATGACAATTTGAGAAAAATATTGACCCAATAGGTCCTGAAATCCAGAATTTTGGTCAGAACTCATACTTATTTGAATAATATTAACTTAAATTACATTAATTATTAATGTTTAACGGATATTTGGTAAAAAGAGCGGAGAAACAATTTATCATTAAGGCACAAACAGATTTGACTGCGCAGACTCTTGACTGCTTAGCACCAATATTAATCAAGTAATATGAACTGATCAAATTTGCCACTGACTGGTAGATTTTGTTTCAGAGTTACTGATACAAATATTTTAATTGCGCCCTTTGAGTCAATTAAAGAGTTTCAACAATGAATTTAGTTTTTTTTTTTTGACAAAAAAGTGTACATTTTGTCTCCGCTCGTAGTACATTCCGATGTCGGCGCAGATTTTTTATTTATGAAAGCAAATAAGACAAAAAATACAAAATTCGGTGGAGAAGGTGTTTGAGCGATGATTTGTGTTTTCGCATTTGTGCTCTCTTTTTTATGATCTCTAATCGATGTTCGTACAAAGTTTCTAACGAAAAGGTTTACACACAATTTTTCCAGTCATCAATTTTTATCTACATCCCCTGCTCAGCGGTGCAATTTTAGTATCTTATGTAAAATCCGAAAAAGATTTTCAAAAGAGGTTAGCCAAAACGAACGAACATATTCCCGTTTCGATACCCATGAGAGTTATAATATATAAAAATACTCTCCAAGTATARTTTTTTAATAACAGTTTTTACTTTGCAATCAAATTAAGAAAATGTAGGGCTATTTTATAATATATACGCTATCGTGACGTCATCACAGCAATTGATAACTTAAAAACCTTTAAAAATGATTAGCAGGAATCGCTGCAAACCTCAAGCATCAGTTAGTAAGATATATTCATGGAACTGAATTTAAAGGCTTTACAATTATAATTTACAAATTGCAAATAAATAATTAAGTTAAGAATTTGGCATTTTCGAAGAACTATTTATAATATATTTTTGAATATATGTAGATGTCATTTTAAAAGGCATTCAGGGTTCTGGTATTGAAGACAGACGAACTAAACTTTTCACTTAAATTCAATGGTTAACGTTACTCAGTATCCCTACTTAGGACTAACTCCTCATCTTTTAATGACATTTTAATAAAGAAAGTAATAGTTTTGGGATTACCAAGACCTTCTCTTTAATTTTTTTTACATATACATAAATTTTAGCTTTCTTAGTTCGCTTCAGACTTACAATAACTGCTCCAAATACACTGTGCACTTTGCGACGAAATTTTCGCCAACCACCGCGATCTTCGTATGCCAGTTTCTTTTTATTTGCGCGCAAGTGGTCAAGCCACTTGTATTGTTCACTAAACAACTACTAAATTAACAATTTTTTTTGCGAATTATTTTTCGAAAGCGCACAATAAAGTACACATACTGATTGTACAATTTTTAAATTAATTTTAGCAGTACACTTAAGATAAAATATTTTTGATTTTGTTTAAATAATTTTTTTGGTTTTTATTTCAAATATTTTTCCACTTAATTTAAATTCGCTTATCCCAAGCACAAGTGAAATTGCCAAACAATCTTTTTGAACAATGTGATTCGTGTAAAATGGATATAAATACTAAATGCCACAGAAAGCATTCTGGCAGCAGGGCAAATGCGAACTGAATCGCTTGAGAAATATGTTTATGCGTTGTGGTTCTCACACCCGAGCCGATCGCTTCAGCTCAGCAGCGTGAGATGAGTGCGACCGCTGAAAAACTAAATATTAGGCAAATAAAAAGTCAGTTGCATACAAATAAGCTTGTAAGTACGAAAGTATGTGCATGCATACGCTGAAGCAAAGCCAAAAGGCAAACATCTCATTAAATAAAAAATAATTGTGAATGACTAACTGACTGACTGACCCAACGACACACGTGTACGTACAAATGCTGTCTCTTATACACATCTAGATTTTCGACTGCCCAATATATGTATGTATCGGGAAA